GGGGGGGGGGATGTGAAACAAGAAAGCAAATTGTTTAGTCCTATGACCAGAGTTCCCATTAACAAGGGCTGAAGTCTCTGGGCCAGAGACTACCTAGTGAGGCCAGGACTGGGATCAGGAACTAAGACTTGAATCTCCCTCCGGTTGATTTTCAGGACGCACTCCATCCTCTCCTCTTCCCCTCTCGCCCATTGTCCCTCTCCCACTTCTTACCTGTCTCTTGACCTTTGGGAAAGTGCAGGGAGGAGGGGCTACCAGCAAGCCCTGGGAAGGGGGCCAGGGAAGGTGATAGTTAGGGGTAACAGGGGTATGGCTCGTGCTGCAGCAGCTGTTGACTCTGAGGAGCAGAAAAGGCAGAGGGTGACGGGGACCGAAATGGAAAAACAGGAAAACACATGTGCGACTCTGGCCGGCAGCGGGGAGGGGCTAGGGGAGGGGCTGGAGTTCGGATTGCCTGCACCAACCCAGAGATTCTTGCCCGCTCGGCCTCCAGGCACCTTCTCCACTGTCTCAGCTCCACCTCCTCTCCACACCAACCCCTGATCTTCCTTGTTATCTTAAGTTTACTAAGCACTTTAGTTTTCCTTGCAATTTACAGTGCCCTCCAGAGGACCCTTACAATTCCCCACCTCCCCTCTTCCCCTCATTCCTTTTCTTACTCCCTCTCCCACTCACAGTCTGTGTTTAGTCCTACAGGGGCATAGGATCCTATGGTTAGGGCAATGGAATTCTGCCATCCCATCTCAAGAGTTTCCAAGCCATTTCAGCACCTAAAACAAGTCAAAGAAGATAATATACACCAAAGAGGGCCCCCATGGGTGCAGCCAAGCATACATCAAGACATCAAAAAAGCCCACTCATTGCCCAGTTCCCCAAATGGTTCAGGTAATGTTAAAGTGTGAGTCTGAGTTGCCAGGTAAGAGCCAACAATGCTGTGGCACCCTGGGCAGATTTCTGAGTTGCTGCAAACTACTGTTTAAACATGTGGAAGCTGGGCATGATGGCCCATACCTGTAATCCCACAGACTGAGGCAGGAGGATCACAAGTTCAGGGCCAGCTTCAGCAATTTAGCTAGACCCTCAGCAATTAGCATGACTCTATCTCAAAAGTGAAAAAAAAGAAAAAAGAAAGAAAGAAAAAGGACTGAGTATGTAACTCAATTGTAGAGCACCACTTGAGTTCAATCCCCAATACCAAAAATACATAAATATCTGTTTTGCTTACTGAGATAGAGGAAATACAGTTTTCTCAAAATAAAAACTGCATAAGTATATTTCTTTACATTCAAAATTAGAGGTTATTATATAAATTCATCACATGCAATTTTCTGAGGCAGACTACTTCTTGGTAAGCATATTAAACCACTTTAAAGGTAGACAATAGCATTAATACCTGTCCTGGGGAGGGACACGTCACAGTGCACCATGCATTTTCAGAATTCCGGTTGTGACTGTTGCCTTAGGTAATTGATAGCTCCCAGATCTCCAGGCTACACCCTGCAACTTGCACCTGCTTGTTGCAAATTACTCTACAGACAGGTGGTCTAGGTAAGGAGTCCTCCAGGATTCTGTCTGGGCCACTGGATGGAAGCCAACTTATATTTCACAAAGAGACTCAGAAATCAGAGGCACCAAATATCTGGATTATTCCAATGATAATTTATTGCCTTTTTAGACCTGGGCTGCTTCCCAGATGGCCTGCCCCTTAAACTTACCCTGGGTTCAGGTTCAAGCTATGAGGGAAGTCCTAGGGAGAGGAGCAAAAAGCCATCCCTGTTAGCACAGGTTGGCATGGCCCCAGTTCTCTCCCTCATTGCACTCCAGCCACTTTGGTCACCCTGCTGTAGCCACACAATAAGCATGCTCCCACTTCAGTTTTTTCAATGCCTTTTCTTTCACCTATCCTCCTTGCCTGGAACTTTCTTCCCTGTGATATTTTCCATTCCTGGTGTTGTAATCACCACCACCACTAGAAGGTAAGCATCTCAAGAGCTTTGTTCACTGTATCCTCAAGTGCAAGGCTTGCAGTCATTCGTTGCAGGGGTGAAGAAATGAATGAACACCACTGTTACTCTGATCTCCCATGTGGCTGGGCTGCTGGGCAGGCTCTTGAGTCTGCCCTCAGACTTAACGCTACTCCTCTGGCTCCTTAGAGCAAGGAGTCTTCAGTGGTACTTCTTATTTTTGGTAGAAATGGGTAAAAGGAAGAAGAGTATGGTTTTCAGTTTTATTGGAAGGTTTAGAATGGTTTAAAAATTGACTTTGTTTCACTAATGGGAAAAAATAGAACATAAAGGCCCTCATCTAATGTTCTTTCCTGATTCGGGAAGTTCTTAGTTTCTCTATCCCACACCAAGGCTCAGGTGACCTGTCTGCAGGGAAGAGGTGGCCAAAGCGAGGTGCCACGACAGGGTCAAAGGGCAGAGAAGATAGAGGCAGACAAGCACTCAGGTTCACTCAAAATCCGAAGGGATTCAAGAAGAGAGGAAGCGCTAATCTAAAACGTGAGCTCTTCCGCTACCCTCCACCCCGCCCCCCCCCCGCAGCTCTGCCCTCCCCCTGCAAACCTGTCCGTCGCCCCTTCCCAGCTCTCCTCCGTCTCCGCCCCCGCCAGACCTGCTGGCGCTCACCTTTGCCCCTTTCTCCCACATTCCCTCCCTATCCTTGCTTTCTGGTTTCCTGTCTGAGGTCCTAAGATCTCGCTTTCTCAAAACCAGACCCAGCTATCACCCGCCTTCAAAGCCCCTAGGAAGAGCTGGGTTGCCCTTCATAAATGGTCTGACCTGGGGCAACGACCCAGGATCTTTCCTGGGGACCAGGACCCCACCAAGTGTCCCTTCCAATCCCTGCACCAAGCGTCCCTTCCATTCCCTGCACCGGGTAAAGCATTCCACCCCCTGCCTTTCCCCTGGATCTAGGAAGCAGGGTGTGGTGAAAGAGAGTGAAGGTGAAACAGACCAGGTATCACCCAAAAGACCCTTGCTATAATCAAGCTTCTCATAAGAAAGATTTTTACAAAGAGTGTCAACAGGATTTCACAGGAGTTTTGCAGAAAGCTCATCGTGGTTTGAAGCTTCCTCTTTCTTATAAATGCCGGGTTTGCAGAGAAAACATGTGAAACATCTGTCTAGCCTAAGAATATGGGACAAAGACTATTAAGTTCCCACCCACTCAGGCTGGGGATGTGGCTCAAGCGGTAGCGCACTCGCCTGGCATGCGTGCAGCCGGGTTGGATCCTCAGCACCACATACAAACAAAGATGTTATGTCCGAGAAAACTAAAAAAATAAATAAATATTTTTTAAAAATTCTCTCTCTAAAAAAAAAAGTTCCCACCCACTGACATGTAACAACCCCTCTGAGTATAAAATTTAAAGAATTTCCAGACAAGGTACAGAGAATTTCAGACATGGGCCACACTCTGGCCCAGCCCCATACTCTGGCCTGACTGGCTGCAGCCAATAAACCTGTCTCCTGAAAATTCCTTGGGTGTCCAGTCTCTTCTGTCCTATATCATTTGGTGATGTGGATGGGATGGAAGAGGCAAAGACATCTTTTCTGCCTCTCTTGTATCCGGTTCTGGCTTCCCCTGCATGTTGGAGGACAATGCTTCTCCTTGATGCACCACAGGCAACTCTGTGCTTGTGGGCAAGGTGACTCACCCAGCACCCCTGAGCTGCTGCCCCCAAAGCACAATAGAACCCACAGAGATGCAGGAACCAGGAATAGGGAACCTGGAACACTGCTAGACTGAACAGATAGGAAGAATGTCCTTTAGTGGATCCCACATGACTTCCCCTTAGAGGCCTCAGCATACGGAAAATAGCCTTAATTTACTTCTGTAACCTCCAAAGGAGTTGGAGCCAAAAAGGACCCAGGAGTCACCCAAGTAGTCTCTGTTTGGGGTCAACGAGCAGAAAGGAAACCCTGACTCCTTCTGTGGTTTTGGAATTTGGGGGATTTGAGCAGTATAGAAATTTTACTCTTATCATATCTATGTGAAAGTATGTAAAAATGTGTGAATGAGATGGACAGCAGAAGTGTTCGGACCTGATCCAAGGACCCAAGCAAGTGTGGAGTCCCAATCTGCAGTTCCATGGTAGCTCATACAGTCTGAGGTGGAATTCTACCAACCAACATCTAGCTGGAAGCTCCGAGTCAGGGATTGATACCAACCCACAAGGCTAAGATAACCCTAAGTCTCTGAGAGGGGAACGGCCAGAGATAGACGAAGTAAGTCTTAGAGTGTGCAACACTATGCAGTGTAGAACATGGGGGGCATGCAGAGTAAATTAAATCTTTTGAAATGTATATTAGAAAACTTTAAGAAAGGTATTTAATGGTTACTCTGGTTTGAAACTCACTCCACAAATGTTATATACTCTCTGCAAATTAGAGGCCAGGCTTTGATGTGGGATGACCACGAGAAAAAGTGTCACTGATGATGTCCTTTCTATTAAAAAAAAAAAAAAAAAAAAAAACCAAACCTGGACACCCAGATCATTCCCTTATATTGATTGCTGGCAAGAAATAGTATAGAAACAGCCGTTGGTTGAGAGCCTATCTGGAAGAACAGTTCAAGTTGACATTAGTTCAGACTATAGTAGCCTCTAAGACCTAACAAAAGGGAACTAAACAGACAAAAACCTGACAAATAAAATACAGAAAGGAAACCAGTTTTCTCCATAAGCCAGAAGAGAGGCCATCACCTTATATGCCATTCTACCCGACTTTGCCAAGATCACTGAGGCAACAGGCTGTCCCCTCAGCCCCCTCAGCCCCAGAGGCAACAGATGGTGGCCCCTCAGCACCAGCTACTCTTTCCTCCTTGATGCCTCAGTGCCAGAGGCTTCTCCAGAGCCAAAGACTCCTCCACCCCACCCCACCCCCACAGAGACCAAGGCAGGATACTTGTCCCAAGACCAGAGCCACAACCCAGATAAGAGTTCTCCAGATGCCCCTATGAGACACTAAAAGGGGCATAGTTGTCTGTATTGACCAGGAGGGAAACATCCAAGGGGGACAATGCAGTTTTGAGTGCCAGCCTTTCACCACCATTGATCTCTTAAATTGGAAAAATCATACTCCCTCCTACACAGAGAAGTCCTGGGCCATGATGATCTAATGCAGTCCATTATCCAGACCCACCAGCCCTCCTTGGTTGACAGAGGAATGCAAACAGGTGACCTGAGAGCTTTAAAATTGCTAGAGGATCATGCTCCTGACACACAAGGCAACATCCAAGCCTATGCCCAGGCCTGGTTCTCTGACACAGACCTAGGAGGGGCCCCAATAAAGCTCTTTATCCTAAAGATAAAGAGCTATCCAGAGGCCCTCATAGGCAGCCCCTACAAGAAGGGGGGAAAGAGGCTAAACATGAACAAGATATCAGAAGTACTCCAAAAGCCTGATGAAAGTCCCAGCCAGATCTATGAACAACTATGTGAGACCTTCCAACTCTTCACTCCCTTTGATTCCAAGGCACCAGACAACCAGGAGGTAAAACAAGGCCAGAGAGACATTCACCAAAACTTTGCTTGGCTTTGCTTTAAAAAATGCCAGTAAGGGCTAGGGATATAGCTCAGTTTGTAGAGTGCTTGCCTCACATGCACAAGGCCCTGGGTACAATCCCCAACACCAAAAAAAAAAAAAAAAAGTCAGGGAGTTGATTAAAGTGGCCACCATAGTTTTTATCAACCAAGACCCAGAGACTCAATAAGAAGCAGACCAAAAGATGAAGAGAGCTGGCTTGTGGCTCAGTGGTAGAACAC